AGCGCACTGACCACCAGGGGGCAGCTCCTGCGTTGAGCACCTGCCCCTTGCTGGTCAGTGTGCATCATAGCAACTGGTCGTTCCGCCATTCGGTCGATTTGCATATTATGCTTTTATTATATAGGATAGTATTTGGTCTACTGCTGTCCATGCAAAAGGCACCTATAAATATAGCAGATGCTTGTTGTATGAGTAAGAGTAACCCAGACAAGCACTGAAGTGTGTGCATGTGTGTGTGTGTGTGTGTGTGTGTGTGTGTGCATGTGCATGTTTGTGTGTGGCAGTTGCTTGGGCCAGTGTCTAAACTCTAACACTAGATTCCTATTGCCTGAAATGTTCCCATAATCCAAATGTCTGAGTCTGTGCTCTCTATGTCTCTAGTCCCATGATCAAAATGAATAGGTGGAAACTTGAATTTTCAGTTGAGTAATATTTGAGGAGACCTCTCAGTTGAGGAGACCTCTTTCCAAGCTTTATATAGCCATAGAGAAAGCAAAGCTTCATGGTAAGCTAGTTGGGAGCTCTGTTCTCTAATGAGTGGATTGGTCAGAATTCTCTGCTACCATAGGCTCTTAATAGGAAGTGATTATCTCCCCAACCTTCCTGTGACAACCTGTGAAGTGTCAACATCAACCACACACTCCTTCCTCGAGCGGCAGAAACCATGGGCAGCGGTGATGTCTGGGCCCCACAACCTCTCCCTGTGGCTACATGTGGGGTCCTGGAGGCTCTAGCATCGTTACCTTGGTTGTTTCCTTGCTTATGTTTCTATCAACCCTACATCTTAGTTTCTACTTCTTTGCAAACTGTTTTCCTTGTGGTTTATATAGTGTCAGTAGTATTCTATGCCAACCCTCACCCTAACAAAAAGCACAAAAGGAGCCCTAGCCAGTTTGGCTCAATGGAAAATGCATCAGCCTGAAGACTGAAGGGTCCTGAGTTCAATTCTGGTCAAGGGCATATACTTCGGTTGCAGGCTAGCTCCCGAGCCCTGGTCGGGGAGCCTGCAGGAGGCAACCAATCAGTGTGACTCTCATGTAGATCTTTCTCTCTGTGTCTCTCCCCCTCCCTTCCACTCTCTCTAAAAATCAATGGAAAAATATCCTAGGGTGAAGGATCAATAAGAAAAAAACACACAAGAAAGCTTTAAGTATGGAGAGGTACATTTTAAATGTCAGGTGCCACATTCACCTGGAAAATTGGGAGTCTTATTTCTATGGATGGCTTTTCATGATGTTTGTTCTTCCAATGTAAGCTGCTCTTCTTTCTTTCTCTTTCTTTCTCTCATTCTCTCTCTCTCTCTCTCTCTCTCTCTCTCTCTCTCTCTCTCTCTCTCTCTCTGAAAGGGTACTTTGCTTGACCGCTATATATTTCATTAGTTTTTGGTGTGTTTTTTTTTTTTTTTGAGAAACTGGGCTTATCTTGAACTAAGGCCCAGTAAATGGTTTTATTTTATTTGTAATTGTTTTTTAGTAAGTGTCTAGGGAGCACCCTGGTGTAGTACTTGGTCTTTAGACAGATCTGGGTTGTCCCCACCATTTACCAGCTGTGTAACTTTGGACAAGTCACCTAATGTCTTTGAGTTTTCTCATTTATAAGATTGTGCGGAGAGCTATATGAGATCATGTATGAAAAGTAAATGAGATGATGTGTGCAAAGTGCCAGGCAAAGCGACCTGCACATAGTAGGTCTAATGCAGGTGTCTTGGGACATTCAAGTTATAACCCCAAACCCAAGCCTTCCAGGCTGGATGATGGTAAGCATTAACTATCTGAGGCAATGACTACTGAATCACTGCGAACTATATCTTGCAATTTAAAAATAAAATAGAAAACATGATGATAACTTTCTTTGTTCTCCAGTACTTTAGGGTATTTCAGTACTTCATTATTAAGCTGACTTAAACTTAAAATCATGAATCCACTTGACTTTTGCTAATACTTCTGTTAACTTGACCAGTGGCATCATAACTGGCTAAAGTATTAAAGCAAATTAGATCTTTTCACATGTATTCCAAATGCAGACACTGACATGGCCAGTGGTGATCAAGAGAAGTTAGCTTGCCCTTGCCAGTTGGTTGAGCATCGTCATCCTGTCACACATTTGATCCCTGGTTAGGGCAACATACCCACATTGCGGGTTTGATCCCTGGTCAAGGTGGGTATGGGAAGCAACTGATCGATGTGTCTGTCTGTCTGTCTGTCTCTCTCCTTTTCCCTCTCCCTCTCCCTCTCCCTTTCTCTCTAAAATTAATAAAAGATATTTTTAAAAAGAGAGAAGTTAGTTCACCAGCAGGAACTTGAAGTCCCACATCCCATGTCCCCTGTTCTGTCTTGCTTCAGAGTTGCTTTGAAACCAATGACAGGGCATGTCACCACCTTCTTTTGTGGTCTTCTATTAATGGAGAACCATAATGTTTAGACAATTGTTTATTCACTTTTTGAGATGTTGAAATATAAAATGCTGCCAACTTGGAAAACAGTAGTCACTGCTGTGGAAGCGCTCATGTTGCTTGGAGGCTGTCAGGCTCCTTTCCCAGTTGCCGTGTTTACCTGAGCGTTCTGCTCCCGGTGTTGCTGCAGCGCTGGGGAAACAAGGTGAAGTGTAGACACGGACAGTTCCTGTCAGTGTTGGCCTCGCTCCATGAGCTCATTTAGTCGCCTGGGATGCCACTGTTGGGATGGATCGAATCTCTAACATCAGATGGAAAAGGAAGCCTCTTGAATAAGATCGAAGAGAATGAGGGAAATATTACACATAACCAACACATTAGAATATAAAGTCAGTTCATACTAGACTTTCCATTCTTTCTCCAGTGTTTGTTTCTAATTTTTCCCCAGTAAAAAATTAGAAACCTTCTATATCCAGAGCCTCATTGTGAAAACTTGCTCAAGACCTATTGTCTCTGGGCCTTGGTTTTCTTACCTGTAAAACGAAGGTGGAGGTTCCTTCCTGCTTTTTTATGGTTCTTTGTTTATACGTATCTGAAGCGTTTAGAAGGTAAATATCTCCTGATTTAAAGAAACATTAAGACAAAACAAAGTCACTTGAGCTTCCAGGAGCTGGGGAATCATCTGTGTACAGTACGCTTCCTTTAAACACTTTCGCTCCGTATTGAATTTTTCCTCTCCCCAAGAGCTCTATAAAAACAGTGCTTTCTTGCCAGAGACATCAAGGCCTCAGAACTACTGCCCTCCTTCTATGAACACATTATATGGTTTGTGTTTGGCTTAGGATCTTTTTACAGACAGCCCAGCTCCATTCTGAGAGGCTGACTCAGCAGAGTTCCTCCGGCACATTCCCAATGTCATCGGGATTGGAGGCCACCCCCGCCAGCCTCCGGGCAGGCGATGCTGCCTCTCTTCTGTGCGGACCCACGGGGAAGAGGCACTACAGCATCACTTCCTTCTCCATTTTGTTTATTTAAAATATATATACATATATATATATTTTTTATTTCAGAGAGGAAGGGAGAGGGAGAAGGAGAGAGACAGAAACATCAGTGATGAGAGAATCATTGATCGGCTCCTCCTGCACACCCCCTAGAGCAGCGGTTCTCAACCTGTGGCTTTCACAGGGGTCGCCTAAGACCATCCTGCATATCAGATATTTACATTATGATTCATAACAGTAGCAACATTACAGTTATGAAGTAGCAACGAAAACAATTTTATGGTTGGGTCACAACATGAGGAACTGTATTTAAAGGGCCAGAAGGTTGGGAACCACTGCCCTAGGGGGATCGAGCCTGTAACCTGGGCATGTGCTCTTGATGGGAATCCAACCCGGGACCCTTCAGTCTGCAGGCCAACACTCTATCTACTGAGCCAAACCAGCTAGGGCTCTTCTTCCATCTGATTGTAGATGTTTTCCCTGCTTCTCCTCAGGTTGTTGGAGCTTGAGCAGAGCAGGTCTCATTTTGTCCACAGCCTGATTAGGACCACCTCAGTCCTCTCAGTGATCCGCCTCTCTCCCGCCCCTGCCGTCCACACAGTCCCTGGGCCTTTCCTGCCTGTTCCCGTCACTGTCTTGCCCTCTGACCTGCTCTAGGTTGCCAGGGAGCCCTCTCCTTTTCTTTGGTTGCGATCCCAGCATAACCCCAAAGGTTTTAGGCGTAAGAATCTGAATGTGTTATTGTGGAAAATGTCACTGATACACAGTAGTAGAGAAGACAGTATATTGAACCTCGTGTACCCGTCACCTAGCTTCACCAATCTTGTTTCATCTACTCCTTCCAACCCCAGGTTATTTGGAAGCAATTCTCACATCACATATCATTTCTGGTTTTTCCTTTTTTAAAAAAACTCCTGTCCAACTGGTACCACTCAGTTGGTTGAGCATCATCCCATGCACCGAAAGGTGGTGGGTTTGATTTTCAGTCAGGGTGCATACCCAGGTTGTGGGTTTGATCCCCAGTTGGAGTACATATGGGAGGCAACCAATCGATGTGATATTTCTTCTCTCTCTCTCTCTCTCTCTCTCTCTCTCTCTCTCTCTCTCTCTCTCTCTTTCTCTCTCTCTCAAGTTAATTTTAAGAACTCCTCCCAGTTTGTTTGAGAGAAAGGCATAAGTTAACTCTCATCCCAGCACCTTTCTGGCCTCCCAGGCCCCCAGTCTGCGCAGAGGTGGATGTGCCTCCCCTCCCTCTCCTCCCACAGTCCCTTCTGGTGGAACAGCTGACAGAAGAATAGGATCCAGGCCACCTGCCTGGTGCGGGTTTCTAGCCACTTAGATGGGAAGGGAGGCTGCTTCAAGCACGAGGGGGACAGGGATGGAAAAGATGCCTGAGTCACACCTTGCTGTCAAAGATAAGGTGGGCGCACTTGTTTTGATTCACAGTCCACTACCAGCCAGGTAAGACATGTTCCCCGAAACAAAATGGCAGCTGTGAAAGCAAGCTGTGGCCTCATTTCCACTCCCGGGCCCCTTCCCTGGGAACAGGTAAGGCTGTCCTCCTGTGAGGCATCTAAAGGCTTGTCCCGTCCTGTCTTTGTTTTCAGATGCAGTGGCAGAACGTGGAGCACGTTGGTGACCAGAGCCCCTATGTCACCTCTGTCATTCTTCACATTAAGCAGAACGTGCCCATCATCCGTGACAACCTGGCTTCAACACGGAAATACTTCACTCAGTTCTGCATTAAATTTGCAAAGTAAGTCCGGGAGCATTCTCCTCACTGGGTTGTTTGGGGCCATGCTCATGATCCAGGTGTCCCCACCTCCAGCTAGGGCTTATTCTGGTTGCGACAGGCAAACTAATTTTTTTGTACCCAAAAGAAGCATAGTAATAAATCCACTAAAGTCATAGGTAACAGGAACAGCAATGTGATCACCAACCACGTCAAGGCAAATAGAAATGTGATGAGGGGATCCTGTTATTTGGAATTATGTGGAAATAACTATGTCCCCACCCCCCGGTTTGAATAATTAAAATTCTTTTTCAGTGATTTCATATATACATTTTGTCTCCCCAATGAGATTATAAGCTTTTTAAGGGTAGGACCCATCAGTTCTGTTTCTTTTGACTCTTCTCTTCCTCCCTCATAGTAGCTATTACTGTGGCTCCAGAATTCATCCACTTATGGATGTCCTTGAGTCCAGGGAAGGTACTAGAAATTAGGACGGGAGAGTCAGGGAGCAAGCACTGAGCTGATGTCTTCCTACCGCATCCTGGGGTGCGGCCATTTCGGCTTGGTGTGTTGAAGCAGGGAAATGGTTTAGTCAGCGTCTGGCTGTAGCGCTATTTCCCCCCGAGACCAGATAACGTAGAGGGTCAGTGCCTCCTCTGACCAATTATCAAACAAGCACTTTGGCAAACTCCTCAGGAAAGGGCTTCAGGAAGGTCAGCCCAGTCCAAGCTACTGTATCTGGGTTGTTCTCATCCAAGTCCCGAAGGATGATTTCGGACTCCAAGTTTCTGTCCTCCCCAAATATCTCCCTGTTTGTATTCAATTAAGGCTTTTCTTCTCGCTCACAAATAAATCCCTAAGGAACAACAATTATGGAGTGGCTATGGCGTCAGCTTCAGTTTCCAGTTTGTCAAGAAAAGATCGAGTGGCCTCTCCAGGGAGGCTTTAATGTTTGCAGTATGGCGATGGACCGGGATTGACATTCCCTTCGCTCTCTGGGTGCTCATTAGTGTGTGTTGAAAGTATGGCTGATAAATCATATGGTGACACTCCCCATAGCCCCTGGTAGAAACAGTATATCTGTGAAAATTTACTGTGGCCAAGAATCTCCAGTGTGGTCGCACGGGGTCTGACTTCTAGAACTGATGCATACAGAAGGTAACCTTTCTATTCCAACGTTAGGCCAGCTAACGTTGAGTGAATTTACTCGGCTGGTCCCGGCACCAGCCTCACATTCTCTCAGAGCCCTTTCATTTTATTACTAAGCCCATCCTGGGTGAGCTGGGAATAGGATGCCCATCTCTCACATCTGGAAAAGTTTAACCTGTGATCTAGAAAATGGCTTTCTGATTTAATCCATGGTACCCTCTCATCTTTCTAGAATCCCAGTGGAAGATTAGAAATCTCAGAGGTGGGCGTTTCCCCAGCCAAGAGCAATAGCTGCCACCTGACCCCGCCCCCCCTCCAGGGGATGGAGAAACGCTTAGCAGTTGCCCACCCCATTGCTGGGACTTTTCCTAAAAAAATATGTTCCTGGTCTCCCTATTTCCCTCACCCCACCCAGTAGACTAGCAGACAGAGCCAGTTCAAGGGTACAGCCGAAGCCTACTCTAGTGTAAAGTGTCATAGGTTATATACTACGTGTACCATTGCAATTAGTCACGGATTCAGTCTCACTTTCTTATTTGGCCTGGCTCTGGTTTGAAGAGTCCCTATTCTAAATATTCCCTATTCTCCCTCCTGATCAGCTATCTCTGGAGTTTAAGTTCCTTTCCCTTTAACTTCCTTTCCTGTCCCACTAATGCAAAGCTATGATGTTTTCTTTTGCCTCCATTTGGTCTCTGCAGCAACAGTCTTTCCTGGTTAGACATCAAGATCACCCCCTTGAGTCCTAGGTTTGGCTCAGTGGCTAGATTGTTGGCCTGAGGACTGAAAAGGTCCCAGGCTCAATTCTGGACAAGGGCACATGCCTGGGTTGTGGGCTCAATCCCTAGTAGGGGACATGCAGGAGGCAGCCAATCAGTGATTCTCTCTCATCATTGATGTTTCTATCCCTCTCTCCCTCTCCCTTCTTCTCTGAAATCAATAAAAATGTATTTTTAAAAAAAGAAGAAAAAAAAAAGATCACCCCCTTGATTGAAACTACTAAGTGACTTCTTATCCGCTAAGCTGATTCTTCTCTGTTCAGTTATGGAGATAATATAAGACAAATCTCTTTATAGTCATTGGGAGGATGAAATGAGAAGTCAGGTGTAAACTTCCTGATAGAGTGCTAGTGCCAAGCTGACATTCAAAAAGTGGTAGCCACTATCATTACTGTTTAGTATTTATTCAACATGCATTCAGTGGAGTACCTGCTATGACTCAGTCACAGAATTAAGTGCTTTGACTAGACGTCGTCCCTATTTTCATTTGCCTTACAGTCAAGTAGAGGGAAACAGACATGTGAGCAAATAAAGTAGGTTAGATGTTAGATGAGTGGTCTGTGGACTCTAGATATGGTAGAAAGAATACAGTGACTGAGGAAAGGCTTTATAGAAGACATGTCCTTGAGCAGAGTCCAAGAGACATATGTGCACTGACCCACAAGGCCGTGGAGAAGAGGGTTCCAGGCAGAGGGAGTGATGTAAGCAACGGCACAGAGGCATTAAGTAGCCCGCAGAACTATGGGATCTGCAAGTAGTTCAGCCAGTTGAAGCGTAGGGTGCTTAGTATGATGAGGTTGGAGACAGAGAGTCTAGACAACCAGGAAGGCCTTGTCTGCAACCCTACAAGAGTTTTGATCAGAGGAAGGTCTTGAAAATATTTGCATTTGAAATAAATCCCTTTGGCTGAAGATGGATTAGAAAGGATGAGGCTGAAGGCTGGGAGACCAGTTAGGAAACAATGGAAAGAGCTCCAGTGAGAGAGGGCAGCAGCAGTGGGAGTGGTCGGAGGGTGGATGTGAGAGTTTAGGGAAGAGCTGGTAGCTGATTGGATATTGGGGTTGAGAGCACGGGAGCTGTCTCGGTAGCTCTCGGTTTCTGACTTTGGTGAGTGAGATCCAGTCAGCTGAGCCTGGATTCCGAGGCGGGGCTGCGTCGTGGATGTGCTGGGGTTGAGGTGTCACTGGGCCATTCCAGTGGGATGTCCGGTAAGTCATTAGATACTAGAGCTGGCACAAGTGTACAGGAAAAGATGCAGAGAGATCAGAGAGGAAGGAAGTCACACGTCTGAGAGCAGCATTTGAAGAGTGAGAAGAGAGGTGCTAGCCAGCCTTTGCCTTGACCTACAAATCCTGCTTTGTTGCCATTGGGCCTCCTTTGGTCATGGGCCATATGACACCTCCAGCTCTGTCACTCTGGACCTGGCCTTGATTATAGGCATTTGTAGTTCACACACTTTCCATTCTGCACCAGCACAACCAGCTTTCCCTACTCAGGCCTCTATAAGCCCCCCTGACCATTAAAGTTTCATTGTCTTTTTCCCCAAACAAGCATCATTATTAGTTCACTTGACCCAGTTTGCCCTTCAATCCCCAATCAATTGGGGGAGATCATATAGTCTATTCCTGATCTGACAGTTATTCCCCTAGCAATTACTTCCTGTTTTTACATTTAAGAGCCCATAACTACCTCATGTATATGTCACTCTCATATCTGTTAGGATGTTTTCAGTTACTGGTAATAGAAGCTCTGACTCGAACTGATGCATACAGAAGGTAACCTTTCTATTCCATATAAATGCAAGGATGGTTGGTTCAGTGGTTCAGCAGTGTCATCAAGGACCCAGGTTCTTTCCCTACTCTGCTCTCCTTGGGATTGGCTTCATCTTCAGAATGGTGGCAAAATGGCTGCTTTCATAAACAAATACAAGAATACCCTAAAGAAGGAGAGAGTCTTGCCTCAGCCATGCAGTAAAACCCTTCCCTCCAGTCTGATTGGGCCTGATTAGAGCATGTTTCCATCTCAGGACCAACAACAGTTACCAAGGGAATCCCACACTCTGACTGACTGAGCTCACTAGAATTCAGCTCTGTAGTTTAGGAGGGATCAACTTTCCCCTGGCATCCCAAGGACATGTATACCTAAATACAACCAGGGCTTTGGCTGGGAAGAAAAAGAAAGCAATGGATGCTGGTAGGCCACAGACTTGTCTCCTTGGTTTCTCAGTTCCCTGATGGAAGGAAGTGGGGCCTTGAAATTTTTTCTACAGTTCTTTACAGAAGACAGAATAAGCCTAATTTGTCACTTCTTTTTTATCCACAGCTCCTTCATTCCCAAGTTCATCACCCACCTCTTCAAGTGCAAGCCAATTAGCATGGTGGGAGCAGAACAGGTGAGATGAAATTGGTGTAGGGTCTTTCTTTATGGCTTTGGTCGTAGATCCAATACATATCTTCCTAGTACAGATCTGCTCTGGAGAAATGAAATTGCTGGTTTTCCCTAATTGGGCATTGATGGCTTAATTCAGTCATCTGTTTATTTTAAAAACTAAAGGCCTAGTGCATGAAATTCGTGTGCTGGAGGGGGGTTGTCCCTCAGCCCAGCCTGCACCCTTTCCAATCTGGGACCCCTCGGGGGATGTCCAACTGCCGGTTTAGGCCTGATCCCACAGTCGGACATCCCTCTCACAATCCGGGACTGCTGGCTCCCAACTACTCACCTGCCTGATTGCCCCTAACCGCTTCTGCCTGCCAGCCTGATCACCCCCTAACCACTTCCCTGCCAGCCTGGTCTCCCCTAACTGCCCTCCCCTGCCAGCCATCTTGTGACAACATGGGGCGGCCCATCTTGTGTGAGGGTGTGATGGTCAATTTGCATATTACCTCTTTATTATATAGGATTTTTGTTAAGCACCTACCAAGTACCCAGGCATTGTTCTAGGTACAGGGTTAATGCCACAGTGAACAAGACAGAAAAGATCTCACCTTTATGATATTTACATTCTAGTAAGAAAAGACAGATAATGTACAGTTTAACAAGAAATTAGAAGGTAAGTATGCTAAAGTGTATAAAGCTAAGTTACGTGAAAGAATATCTGGGGCTTGAGAAGGACGAGGCAAAGTCCAGGAGGAGGGAGCAGCAGAGGCTTGGATGACTTTGGATCCCGTGCTGGGGCCGAGACCACTTGAGAGTAGCAAAGAAAGGCTTATCTGTTTGGTACTGAGAAACTGTCCACCTCCCCCAGGAAGCCTTCCTTGATTAGCCTACTTCATTCACCTGGATGCTGTGCCTCAAGACATCTCTTCATAGGCTCTATCAGCTCAGCACTAATGAACTGAGTTATAAGCTACAGCAAAGTCATCTCTTTTCAACTCCCACCTACTCAGATTGCCCGAAGTGTGAGCAGTTTGAGTTCAGAGAGCAGTTTAAGCTACTGTTAAAGAAACAATAATATTCAGCCCCTAATTCTCTAAAAAACATCTACTTAGATGCACACTATTCATATACTGATCATAAATGATTCTCATATATTCATTGAAATAAATCCTCTCCAGGCCTCTACCTAGCAATACTTAGTGAACCTATTTCAGTTACTTTTTCATATTTGAAAGAACTCAAACTACATTTTTAAGTAAGAAGTTTCTATAATTCATGCCATTTCTAGAACTCCTGCTCTTCCATCAAATTAGTCACCTTGGCAGAGGCTCAGCCCTCTCCCAGCTCAGTGACTTGCCCTCACATTGGGCTCTTGGCTGTGCTGGTCCAGCATGCCTCAGGAAGACGGCAAGTTGGCATGTGCCCCAGTGCATCATGGGTCTCTCATGAAGCATCAAAGCCAGAGATGTGATCTCTGTGAATATCAGGAATCTCTCAAATCTGATAAGTTCTGTATTCTTTGTGAGTGAGTGGCCTTCCTAAGTTATGAAAAGGCAGGATGGTGTGAGCATTAAGGTCATGAGCTCCAGAATCACAGAGGTCTGAGGCTGAATCCTGTCTGTAGCATAGCAGCTGCTTGTCCTTAGGCGAGTTCCTTGACCTCCCAGCACTTTAGTGTTCTCATCTATAAGATGGGGATAATCCTAGTACCGCCTCCCAGGGTGGTTACAGGGATTAAACAGATAATGCACCTAAAATGCTTGGACCAGTGTCTGGCATGGGACAAGCCCTCAACAAATGCCAGCTCTTACTAAGTTAAGCTTCCTCAGACCAGGGACATGACTTTGTTTCTGCTTTCATTTCCCACCTCCCTGCAGAGTAGCATCTAGCCAATGTTTGCTGGCTGTCTGCTGGCCAGCTTTGACCAGAGTCAAAAATAAAGGGGTGGGCAAAAGAAGGTTTACAGTTGTAATACAATAATTAATAAATAATAACACAAGAATAAGCTGTTTTATGTACTCACAACGGTAAACCTACATTTGCCCCAACCTGTATTGTCTCAGAAAAATGTCCTGGGAGGTTGCATGGATTCCAACACTGACTGTGTCTGTAGCGTTTCAGTGACTCTTGCATGTCATAAGCATAGAACTAATTCTCTCCAATAGAAACAGCAGCCTAATGGCCCAACATGTTGTCTCATTAGCACATGGTTCATTAGCTCATGGTTACTGGGAATTGATTCTGCTCACCTCACTGTTCTGTGTAATCAGAGAGGATGCTGGGCGATTAGATCGGTGTATCTGGAAGAGGCTTCAGCATTCTCAGTTGCGGGGTTTCTGTCTCCAGACATGATGAAGCCACTGGGACACATTTGACTCGTTGGGAACATGTTTCCAGAGAGTGCAGCTTTGCCCAGGCCTCACTAGCTGACTTAGTGTCCGATAACCATGGTATTTTCATATCGTCACATAAATCCAATATCATATCTATTTTCCCCAGACTTTCTCTTCTTTAAAAAGTATGTTAAAATAATCAGCTCAGTTTCAAAGCTCGTATCTTCAGAAGAATATCAATTTAGCCAGTCTTGACTCCTGCTTTGAGATATGAATGAGAAAACCATCTGTGAAAGTGGAGTTTTACTTTCTCAGACAAATATGAGTGGGTGGTAAGGAGCCTGGACCTCAGCAGGCTCAGCCTGGGGGAGGGTATGGGTGGGAACGAAAGGGCAGCGTGGTCCTCCAAGGAGTCCCGTGTAAAGTTCAGGTTTCGCTGGGTCCATGCTGGCCCTGAATGTCTGGGCTTAAAAATCCAAGCAGTCGTGTAGCCAGAGGTCTGATCACTCAGGCAACAGAACCATAGGAATCAAGAAGTTAACAAAGAGATGGTCAAAGGCTGAGGTCTTTGAACACATTCTGCCTCAGGTCTTGTAGTGGCTGGAATCCAACCTTTAATAAAAACTGTGAAATGCAAAGCTAAGGTTTAGCCTAGTCTCAGCTGCCTCTGCTTCCCCACACAGGTACTAGACCCTAAATTTAGATTCTACTTTAATGCTTGTGCTGAAAATAGGGACGGAGACATTTCCTTCCTCTTCATTCTCTCCCTGATTACTGTGAAAGTGAATTCTTTATCTGGGGCCCTAGAGTCCTCTTGAGCAATTGCAAGGGCATGTAGAACTGAACCGTACTGGTATTTGTGATGCTTCTTGCTAGTTGTGATTTTCAGAGAATCTTGTGGGGATTCGCAGGGTCATTAATTAGTCTTATGGCCATGGTATCTATGACTGAGTGTACAGCAGAAATGGAATCCATTCGCAAAACTTACCATAGAGGAAGCAGCACTCTATGGTGTAGGGAAGAGAACCCTGAGACTTGGGGTCCAGTGCTCCCTCTGCTGTTAATGGTCCCTTTGATCAAAGCAGTTGCTTCTCTACTTTGAGCTCAGGTTCTTTGTGTTCAAATAAGAGCACTGAACCAGACACTCTCATACGCCCCTCTTAGTCTGTCATAAGATGGAGTCTAAATATTTAAAGCAACATTATTCATGTCTGTGAAGTTATTTCATTTTCCTTTGTGTTATCTTTATATCTTATATTGACTTTCTATTGTGGTAAAACATATAATTTACCATTTTAGCCATTTCTAAGTGTACAGGTCGGTAGTATTAAGTACATTCACATTGTTGTTTTACCATCCCCACCTCCAGACCTTTTTTATCTTCTCAAACTGCAGCTCCATTCCCATTAAACACTGACTCCCCATTCTGCCCTCCCCCACCTCCTTGCAAACACCATTCTACTTTCTGTCTCTATGACTATGACTGCTCTAGGAACCTCATATAAGTAGAATCATATAATGTCTGTCCTATGGTGTCTGGCTATTTCACTTAGCATGTCGTCAGCGTTTATCCATGTTGTAATATGTTTCAGAATTTTCTCTTTATGGCTGAATAATATTCCATTTGATCATACTCACTTTTAAATTCACATAATTCAAAACCATATGTAAAAATTATGTTTAGAGAAAATTTTAGACATTTTTTAAAAGCCCAAGCACCAAGGACAGAGAAAGGAGAATCAGGTGATTGTACACATGGCAGTTGGAAAAATGAGCAAGTACGATGGTTATTCTCAGGTTCAGTTCTTCTCAGTAAATCTCCAGAAGGCAGAGTGTTTTTAAGCACTCTTTTAAAAAAACAAAACAAAACATGGATTGATAAAATTTAATTCCCATATTCACGACAGATTTAAAAAATCTTAAACTAGAGACACAAGGAAATTGTTAAATCTGATAAACGGTAAAATACAAAAATCTTAGGAGAGGGTATGGATTACATGGGTAAATTCATTTGTCAAGATTGTAAAATTAAGAATTGTGGGGTAAGGGAGCAGCCACTGGTAAGGCACGAGCGTGGTCATGTGGTTGCTGGTCACTGCTGCCACCCTTCCCGCCCTGTTCTTTTTATGGTTGGTCCAGCTGGTTCCTCGAGTGCCCAGCAGAGACTGAGGGAGAGAACAGGGCTGGGAAGAAAAGAAAAGAATTGTGGGTAAATAAACTACACGTATAGTAAACAGGATTATTTTACATTGGGAATCTCTTAAGACTTTCTGAACATACAATTCATATTTCAAGGATTGCAGTATTCTATTTTTACATTTTTCATTAAAGGCATTTTTTTAAAAAAACTCTAAAAAAAAAGAATTGTGCATTTCAATGTATGTAAGTTTTACCTCAAAACTTGGCCCATCCACTTATCATATCTTGCACTGTCTGTTCTGTGCTTCCTCTTTGAAGAACTTTGCAACACATATGGTTCTTTAGCTTCTAGGAGTATGCCTTCATCTTACCTACTCAAGCTTTTCATCACTACCAATAGTTATAGTGTCCCCCCAAGAGTAGGAGGTGCATTAGGAAGTAAACCCCTCTAAGCTTTCCATTGCTGGGTAATGATGACCTTTCCTAAGCATAGCCCTGGCCAGCCCTGTACCCCAGTAGCCCTTTAAAAACATGAGCCACTACC